TGGAATGACTTAAGATTCGACTCTTAAAAATCTTATCTTCGTCCATCTAAGGCGACATCTAAAAATGAACCAGTCTTGTTTGATCTATAAGCAGCAAAATGCTTATCTTGTTTGTTCTTTAAGCGCCAAGATATAATGTCTCATCCTGCCCGCTATCTAAGTGCCAAGGTGATCACCCGTGTGAGAGGGTCAATCTCAAACTAGTGACATACAAAAATGTAGTAATCATCATACTATAATTCCAATCCACATCCATAGAAAAAATGTATAAGATACTCCATAAGAGTCTCAAAAATTACACAGCCAATAAGGTATCAACAATGCATATCACATTCTCCTCAAGTCACATGCTTTATTTTTGTATGATGAGATGATTAGATGGAAGATTGGGAGCAGACTAATTTGTGGCGTACCCATCATATGTGAGTGGGAGATGTTGTCAGCACCCATATGGGTAGGCTGACGTTATGTGATTTAGTCTTTCCCACTTATTCACACAATTGACTTGTGTGTTGCATACTCTAAATTGTTGCTTTTACATGCATTAGTCATGTAAACTATTTGTATTATTACATTACACAAGTTTTGTCACATGTACTTGTGCTCATGTGGAAAAGATGGACATAAATCTTCAGATTACCAAGCTGGAGAATCACCAAGGCCTTTCAGTGATTTGATGTGACCCCCAAAGCTAGACACTTCACCCTCCTGAACTTGGAGAGAATAGATTGAGTTACCCTAGCCCTAGCCCTACTAAAAAATATAAGAGATTTTCCATTTGCTGTCTCCTGTAAAAGAGAGGAAGTATTTAAGTGTTGGGAGACCAAAGGGTATCTCCACTCACTTGAGTAGTAGTCTCCTCTCTCTCGGTCTCTCTCAAAAGGCCACAATGTTTGTGCATTGGAATTTAGTGTGGAACATGGAAGACAACTGTGTGTGTAAGTAGCAGAGACTAAACCAGATGATGTCAGCCTACCCACATGGGAGCTGACACTGACAGTATGAATATGTATCTAAATTTATTTGTTGAGAGGTCTTAAAGTATTGTGATTGTCCTGCTAATTACGTGAGGAGAAACGATAGTGATACATGCTATTAGTAATCTAGATAGATTGTTGCAAAGGCACACTTGTTTTTCGCGTTGGAAAAGCAGAACAATATTGCTACTATTGGCACAACCTAGTAGCATGTCCTTAAGTACTATGTATGAAACCAATTCATTTTTTGTTAATGGAGGCTTCAGTATTAGCAGGAGGAGGATACTGTTCTAATTTGCAGAGCCGGACAGAGAAGTGGCATTATGTCTGAATATCCACTTTTCCCATTTTAAAATAGCTGACACGTGCGAAAAGGAAAGTGTCCATTCTAGTTGCAATGTTAGTAGTTGCTCTGATGGTGTCAATTAATTTATTCTTGGTGGTATAAAAGTAGAACTGCATTTAGCTCAATTAATTTATTCTAGGTGGTATAAAAGTAGAACTCCATTTAGCTTTGTATTCTTCTAATGCTGCCATGCTTACAAGTTACAAGTTACAAGTTACAAGTTACACCACTCGCAAGGATTTGAATATCTTGCTTCCTCTATGAACATACTCTCTCAAACTTTCTACAAGTTTTGAAGAGCCGTCAAGTGGAACATAGCACGGTAATATACCTTTTAATAAAAGTGAAAGAAAGCATATGTAGTCACTACTAGAAAAAACACTTTCCGTGACGAACATGTTTGGTCTTACAAGTTACACCACTCGCAAGGATTTGAATATCTTGCTTCCTCTATGAACATACTCTCTCAAACTTTCTACAAGTTTTGAAGAGCCGTCAAGTGGAACATAGCACGGTAATATACCTTTTAATAAAAGTGAAATAAAGCATATGTAGTTGTGGCATAAATTTTCTAGAATATTCAAGCTTACAGACCAACTAAAAATCTACTAGTATGGTAACCCCAAGGGGTAGGCCTAATGGTAAGGCCTTGGGTCTTGGGGGTGTGCTCCTTCCAAGGTTCAGGCTAAGAGCTAACAATTCCTTAGGGCTATCGAACTAGGGGAAAATCCTTAAATTAACCGTGGTGCACTTGCAGGAAACTCCTTGCCGACGGCCTGTGCACCCATGGGGATTAGTCAAGCTTTGATTTGGACACTCTAGTGCCAATCAAAAAAACAAAAAAAAACAAAAAACTGCTAGTATGGTTCCCAATAATTCTTCTTAGTATCCTTGAGAATATTATGGCCAAACATTTGTTTTTTTCTTCAAGCAAAATACAGTCACAAAATTGTATAAACTTTTATGGATGCTTCCACAATACAACATTATGTTCTATTATTTGTAATTGAACCCCTAAGAGCATCTCCAATGGTTTGTCAAAGTTACAATATAGCAGCTTTGCACCAAAAATGGTTCTCCAATGGTTGAAGATGGCAGTTGCTAAATTTGGCAAATGCCAAATGTGCCAACTCACCCAAAACTAACCGCAGTTGCCAAATGTGCCAACTCACCCAAAACCAACCGCTTCCTCCCTCCCCCCTCATCCTTCCCAGCAAAAATTCCCAAAACATATCATTTTTTTTAAAAACAAAATTTACCAATTTTTTTTTAAAAACAGAATTCACAATTTTTTTAAAACAAAATTCACAAAATTCTTTTTTAAACAGAATCAGGCTAAAAAAAATTCTCAAACTATTTGGCACAAGCTAAAAAATAGAATCATGCTAAAAAATTTCAACAACAATCAAACAACTTAAAACAAATTTGAAGTTATCTCAAGCAATTCTCAATAAATTTGAAGCAAATTTATACTAAAAAATACCTAGATTTTAAGATGCTTGATGGATTTCTCAGACGATTTCAGCACTCTGAAGCTTCGGCTGCATCTTCTTCATCTTCGTGCTTTGTTTTTTCATCTTCTTCTTCATCTTCTTTGTTTTCATCTTGGTAGGGTTTGAGGTTAGGGTTTGAGGTTGGTCTGTTTGGATCGATTTAGGGTTTCTTCATCTTCGATTAGGGTTTTGACCTTGATTTAGAGTGAGATCAAGAGATGAAGATCCAAAAGGATCTAGGGTTTGGTGGTGAGGAGGGGAGAGTGAGAGAAGAAAGGGAGAGATTGATGAGATTTCTCAGAGTGATAATCATCTACTGTTTTGAGGGGGTGAGTGGGATCCAAGGGCTTTGAAAGTATCGAATCTGATTTCAAATGTATCGGACTGGATCAGAAGGGTTTAGGGTAGAGAGAGAGAGAGAGAGAGAGAGAGAGAGAGAATGGTTTAGGGTTTCAGTAGAGTGTCTAGTCGGGTAGAACCATAATATTTAATTTTTTTTAGAGAAAAGTTTTAAAAGGTCATAAAAGGAATTTTTTTTTTTTAAAATCACTCAAAAAACTGTATCCAAAGCCACATAAAAATAGGAGGGAAAGTTAGTTGGGATTGTGCGAAAATGGCTTTGCACCATTGGAGTATCATTGCTATAATTTGGCAATGTGCTACTGTAGCATGGCAAATTATAGTTTTGGCAATGCTATTTTGGCAACTACCATTAAATGTGAGAAGAGTTTTTTGGAGCACCACCTGTCTTGAGGGGCACCCCAATAGAGTTTTAGAAATGTTGTTTTGGATCATTTACAGGCATTTCATGCAAGATAAAAATCTCTTTTTTTTTTAGTCTCTTTTTCTTTTCCCCCCCTTCTAGAATGATAACAAAGTACTTTGTATGATGCCTTACTGATGTAGCATCTCTAGGTTATATAACTTCATAAAAAATGGTATGTCATTTTATTTTTTTTAATGTGAATTATGTATGTAGTTTATATTATTCATTAAGGATAGTTTAGTACTTTAGATTATTAGGGATTTTTTGGGTTTCGTTTATATATTTGTAATTCTTTTGATTAATCAATATACACAAGTTTTGTCATCTGTTATCAATAACTTCATAAAAAATGGTATGTCATTTTATTTTTTTTAACTTGTGTGCATTGTTTGCATTTTATTTATTTACCTTTCTTTGTAATAAATGAGTTACTAAAATAAAAATCGTAAGATCCCTAGCAAGTAAACTTGCCCGAGTATTTGGGGGCATAAAGAACATATTTAATTTAGTGTAATATATATACTTATTACATGCATTGAGTTTTTACATTAGCTTCTGGACTCTGTTCATGTATTTGTGTGTAACAGTTTTACTCTTGGAAGTGAATACCTGATTGGTTCCGGTGCCGTGTGGTTTTTGAGAATCAGAAAGATTTGTGTTAGGAAAGTAGTATGTTGTAGAAATACTTGCTATTGCTATTTCCTTCTTTAACCTCTGTGACATTAGCTTGACACTAATATGGGCAACTAGAAAATTCTCTGCTTGCTATATTACTCTCTTTCAAAACCAAAAAAAAAAAAAAAAATTGTGGGCAAAGGTGAAATGAAGTTACTTCAATGAAGACAAGTTTTCATTGAAAATAAGGTTAGTGGAGAAGAATTTACTCCACTCAACAGTCCAGTTGGAAGATTTTCCCTTCTACTAAGCAATGCGTTGAACTCAATTTTCTGCTTGGAACAGTGATAAAGTAAATTGGCTAATTTCAAATTTCGAGGGCAAATGCACAATGTGATGTGAATGTTAATTTTGAATAATTTAAGCTGTCATATCTCAAACACTTACGAAACACTGTCTCTCACTCTCTCTCTCTAAATGAGCTATGTCCAAAAATGACACAATAACTGCCACTTGAATTTCAGATATTATTTGTGTCACTGTTTAGCATGGATCTATTGCGTGGTTGAATGGGAAAGGTATAGTTTTCTTGAGGGGTTTACTTTGATCAGAACTTTCTCGAGATGTTGATGTCAGTCTTCCTTGAATTCTTTCTATCCTGTAATTGTAATTTGTGACGTTGAGACATAACTGATGAAAATTCTTGTTTAAATGAGCATGTTTTTCTATGTACTTTATTAATAACCCTGATTTACAATGAGTGATGGCCTTGACCAATTCTCTCTGTCTCTCTCTCCCCACAGGATCTCTATCGAAACATCTTACGTAGCGGCAACTCTCAAGAGAATCATTTTCTATCTGGTGCGCCTGCCAACTTCATTGCCGGGGCTGCCGCTGGTTGCACGACACTGATCATCATCTACCCACTCGACATTGCACATACCCGCCTTGCTGCCGACCTCGGAAGGCCCAGCACTCGTCAGTTTCGAGGCATCTATCATTTCCTAACCACTATACGCAACAGAGAAGGTTTTCAAGGAATTTACAGAGGTCTTACCGCCTCTCTTCATGGGATGGTCGTTCACAGAGGCCTTTACTTTGGAGGCTTTGACACCATTAAAGAGATGATGTCAGAAGAATCTAAACCAGAAGCAGCATTATGGAAGCGGTGGGTGGCGGCTCAGGCGGTCACGACATCTGCCGGATTGCTGTCGTATCCGCTGGACACAGTTCGGAGGCGAATGATGATGCAATCTGGGTTAGAACAGCCTATGTATAGGAGCACCATGGACTGCTGGAGGAAGATTTATCGGACGGAGGGTGTGGCCTCTTTTTACCGTGGAGCAGTTTCAAATGTGTTTAGGAGTACAGGTGCTGCTGCCATATTGGTTTTGTACGATGAGGTGAAGAAGTTCATGAATTGGGGTGGATTGTAGCCAAAAAAAATTATTTTTTGTCAGCCTCTTCATCTTAAAGGGTTTTAGAGTAGGATAGAGCAACTACAGAACAGAGCAACAGAAATATTGTTGCAGCAACAAATGGAGTTCTTGATACAGTCGATGTTTTGTGATATATAGCAGATGAGGCACATTTGCCATGTAGTTTTGTTTTTGTTTTAGGTTCTGTGACCATTACATTACACCGTTGATTTTTTGGTTAATAATAAAAGAAAGAGAAACTAGTTGGAATTTGTTGGATGTGAATGTTGATCATCTTCATCATATATTATCCTTTGCTCATCGTTGATTCCGACATAAATTTTGCTCAGCAGAATGTGTTTGATTTGAATCGTGAATGTTGATGATATTGTTGTTTCCGGTTTATTTCTCCTTAAAAAGTTCAAAACAGTGAAAAATTGTGTGCGAGACCTTGTTGAAGTTATTGAAGCAGGAAGAGTCTATCAGTGAGGAGCCCTTCGACTCGACACCCTATGTCTATACTATGGATTTTCTGAGCTTAGACTTGAACTGATTGGCTGACTTCTACCGCAGGTTGGAATCATGATGAACCTCAAAGCCCTCCAATCTAGATTTTAGACCCTATATATAATATATAGGAATTGCTAATTACTGCATAATGGGCGTGGGTTAAGATGTAAATAATGTCAACTCCAATGCGTATTTCATGTATTGCAATATATTTTTGCATATATATATATATATATTTTACATATATTCATACATTTTATGGAGGTTATTTACGGGCGGTTTTACTATACGCACTTTTCAAAATAAATTAAATACTTGTGTCGGACATTCGATACTTTAAACAAGGGTATGTGATATGTGTCCGATACTTTTTAACAGATACTTCTTATATAATTGTATGTACAACTATTATTATATATACATATTATTGTATAATTGCTATAAATGTCTTTTTGACGTTATATATAATATCTATTTCTCATATACTTGCTTAAAAACATAAAAATATGACATTTTTTTTACTGAGTTAGCGTACCTTTAAATTTAAAGTTTGATGAGTCCGACATCTAAATACATACCTACACCTGACCCCCATACCCGACTCCATATAACGTAGATGGGCGATGATTAGCATTTTCATTATCGGTCACGATTCAAACCCGCTCCTATAGGTATAGTGGATGTTTGGGAAGTGGCTATTTTAGAGACTTTTTAACTTTTTGACTATTTTAGTAGGTTATTTTAGTTTTTGTGTTTGGGAAGATAGATTGGATTTATTTGAGTTGGTGTATTGAAAAATGTGTTGAAATGATATTTGAAGTTAAAATAACAAATTTGTTCCTAACTTTACATTTTTCAAAATTAATTTGAAGGGGTAAAATTGTAATTTAGCTACCTATCACTACAGTGATAGAACTGTCATAGTGACAACCACTGCGGGCCTATTTTTATTTTTTATAAAAAATTTTTGGTTTAGAAGCTTTTAGGCTAAAATTGTTTTTGAGGCTATTTTAGCCCCAAATTTAAGTTCTCAAACACCCCCATAGTATCGTAACCGGCCAATAATAGGTGTTCAATTGAGTTCTAAATACTAAATTGTTTGAGCTCTCAAGTCATATGCCTCAAATTCCTTCCAATTCTTCTCTCTCTCTCTCTCTCTCTCTCTCGTTGATGTTCAAGAGATAAAAGGAGAGATGATTCTAGAGTGTACATGTAGCCTTATATAGGCTAATTAGCGGAGCTTAATTAAACTTGACGACTAATTTATGACAAGAATTTTATTTTAATTATTTAGGTCCAAATCAAATTTCAGTTAAATTTATCATAAAATTTTAAAAATTTCAAATTACATATTGACCTAATTAATTTTGTGATCAAATGACGATAAGGCATTCAATTCGCATACCGAAACTGAATCACAAACAGAAATTTCTGCCATGGACAGATATAAGCACAATTAACACATAACACATATAATTAACTCAGAATTTTATCTTAATTATTGATTAAATATTCTTAAAATTTATTAACTAATTACAAGTCGGAATTGTTATTACATTAACTGTGCTATTATACATACATTTTATTTTTTATTAAAACTTAACTAGTCATTAGATGACTTTTTCAGCACATTATGGGATTTCATTGGGCTGATTTGTTGGGTTAATTTTTCATTATAAACGTCCACTCTGTGATATAGTTTTAGTGGGGTTGGTTGACATTTTCAGTAGTTTTTTTTTTTTTTAATGAACTTTTCAAAAAAAAAATCTTACACTTTTAAGTTTTAGTTGACTTAGACCAGAAAGTTTAACAAAAATGCTTGGGACCCTCAAAATTAGAGATTTTTATGATTTCTAAAATGATATGGACCAATCATGTGTTTTTGTTTTTGTTTTGTTTTGTTTTTTTTCTTTCCTTCCTAAATAAATCACAGTTGAGTGGGGGTTATGTTTTTTTTGAGAGTCTGTAGCATTGTTCAAAGTTTAAAAAGAAAATTTATAAAAAAAGATCTAAAAATTATTAGAAGAAAGAAAAAAAAACCAAAAATAGTTTTTTTTTTTTAAGTGAACTTTTTTTTTTAGATTCGTTTACACGCGATGGATTTAAAAATAAAAAATTACATAATTTTGAAAAAAAATACTAAATATAAAAATAAAAATAAAAAAGATTAAAAATGTGACTTTTTTAACTGTAAGCAAAACTCACCCTTAATTTGTCTTTTTAAAACACTAGCTCTCCATATGTGGTGCAAAACTGCATACATATTATCTCTCAAATCCTGTTCATTAACTCAGTGCAAAATCTTTTTGAATGTGATTCATTGTGTTTTTTAAATTGAATATGAGGGTAGAATCCTTCAAAATTGTGCTATTCTATTTAAAAAATACAAACAATTCTTTCCTATGGTTAGAGACTACATGTCATGCACTAATTTTTGTAATGATGATGTAACAGCACCAAACAATTTAATTAGGGTGTGTTTGGTGGTGAGATGAGCCAATTAAGCAAGTGGGTCTCAGCCTCAAAGTGGTTGCTTAGCAAAGCAAGATTATTATGTAAATAATTCAACTTTTTCACTTTTAAGAACAATGAGAGTGTGCCCTCCATATTGCAATCAATCTGATGAGACACTATATGATTGGTTCCAAAAAAAATTCCAAGCTTGGGAGGTGTTAACTGGTGAGGATTCGAGCTCTTTAAACAATATAAAGAAAAAGAAAAAAAAAAATTATCGAACAAAAGGTTCAAAACAAACGCAGCCCAGATTAGGTAAAGCTAGGAAAAATGAATAATTAAAACTGAGAAGCCAAAGCAAACCATGACTTCACCACTAAAAAGAGGAAATTAAAAATAAGAACAAAGATACTTGGGAACTTTAGACTATAAAATTTGAAATTGTAAAAGCATTGAGGTAGTGCAAGTGGTGGTCTGTACTGTAGTGCATGTAAGTTCACAGTTTTTACTTCAATAATTTACCTGCACTTGCATATTTTTACAATATTTTTCTCTATTCCCACTCATTTGCAATTTTTCTTTTTGGTTTTGTTTTTTTGGCATAAAGAAGAATTTCAATTGGCTTATCTTATCATCTAATAAAATTTCGGATATTCATGATCATCTGTTTTATAATTATTAACTTTTAATTTAAAATAATTTTCACCAAGGACACACAGAAAGAGAAAAAGGATGACATATGAAATTCTTTTACTTTTATTCTTATCACACAATTGGACATCTTCATTACAACATTCATTCACTTTCTAAAAATTAATTTTTATATATATTTTTTTTAAAAAAATTTAACATGTAACGAAAGATTCTTAACAGTTAAAATCTTAATTATGTGCATTCAAACAGAACAAATTGTGTGGATATAACGATACTGTTCGTAATGTAAAAGTGGGATATATAAATGGGTCGGGCCAATAGTATAAACCATATCATAGAGCACTTTGTATGATTGTGGAATGCGCTCTCCTGTGGGTGTGTTGACCCTTACAAAAGATTCAATTGTAAGATTCTTCTTATGCTTATGTCATGCTGTAAAAGATTCTCTAGATGTGGCTTAGATAGTTCCTCCATCAAACCACTAGAGGGTGCCACGTGTGATCTCAATAAAAGACCAATAGGGCACTCATTTTTGGTTGTGGGGTTGTGGAATTAATTTAAGATACCTAATAGTGTAGTATTTGTCATCACAAACCACTAAGCTCTCTTTTACTTTTACAAACCCAAAGGACAAGGAAAAAGAAAAGAAAAATCAACCATTTTTGTGACTTGGGGAATGTGGGGTTTGAGTTCATAATTTCCCTCCCACCTAATGGCCTTTCCTCTTCTTTTTTCCTTAAATGGGAAAGATCTCTAAAGTGGGTTTGGCACACACTGTGACCACCTATATTTACAACTTCCAACTTTTACTCTATGTGTGTACAACCACCTTTAATTAATTAATAATAATAATAATATATTAAGATAAATTCTCTTAATATTTAAAAAAAAAATACAAGAAGTCCCATAATTTTTATATAATTATATTAATTTTCTTTCTAGTATGATTAAAACAATCAAAATTAATGTAAAGGAAAATTAGTTTAGGGTCCCTCTCCCACTTTTCGTAATGGAAGAGATTTACAAAATTATTTTTTGATGTCTAAGGTCCCTAAACATATATCAGAGAAATTTGACTCTTTGCCCACGATTTCTGCGCTTTCTTCGAACATTCCATCACCGAGTTCACTTCTTGCGTACAAGCTACTCACTCTCAGTCCAATCCAATTCCAATTCAAGTCGATACACCCCCAAAATATATATATATATATATATCGTCGTCGATAATTTCTTCACGGGTCGGAAAAAGAACGTGATGCACCATTTTGGAAACCCTAGGTTCGAGCTCATCAGACACGAATATAGATCCTAAGGCTTCCGTGCAGACGAAACAAGCAGAAAAAATCTGTTAGAAAGAGAATTTTTGTTGTTTTTTTTGGCTGTAATGGACCGTGTTTGGATACAAAGTCAATTCACGTCAGTGAGGCTCATAGGAAAGGGCTGAAAAAAGAATCTCTTCGGTCTGTGAATCCAGTTGTGTTTGATGGAACGAAGCAATCAGAATTAGGACAAAGAGGCGGAGAGAATTTCACATTCCCAATTCTTGATTCAGGGGAGGAAAATTTGACAATTAAAAAGCAGTTAGACTCAGAAGAAGAACCACGACACTCAATTGAGGTTTGAAATTTTCTCTGACTCTATTCACAAATATTTGGGAATTT